ATAATAAAATTTCTAATATTGAGTGATTAAAAAAATATTTATTTGTCACATAAAGTTAAAAAAATTGAGTACAATCGGTTCGACTTATAACTTTCTAACATAAATTAAACTATATGCCAATAACGTCGTTTAAATTGTGATGAATCATATAACAAAACAAATATATAAAATAACTTATTACTAAATATTAATGGTTCAAAATATTTAATAAAATGAATAAACAAAAATAAATAAAATGATATGGTTTACAATTTGATATAAAAGAAAATATGATAGATTACATAACAAAATTAAAAGAAAAAAACGAATATAACGAAACATAATTTTTTAATAATAAAAATACAATGATTATGATTTATATTAATTATAAAAATTATAAAATAATTTGAAGGTGGAAAACAATTATAATAAATTGATTAAAACAATCGAGAAAAAACAGTAACACAAAAGATAACAAATAGTTTTGAAATAATAAAATTAAATTGAGGATATTTTAGTAAATATAATAATTTTTAAATATCAAAACTCATATTCTCTCCCCTCCCCTCCAAATCCCCCCAATTCGGAGGGAACCAAAAAGTGTGTTTTGGAGGGATTTTGCTCCCCTCCCCTCCCCTCCTAAAATGTGAACCAAACATATTTAATTAAAAATTTCCCCTCCCCTCCCCTCCCCTCCCCTCCCCTCCATCTACCCCGAACCAAACACACCCTAAGAACAATTAAATTTTAGCAATTATAAATATGTATTTTTATATTTCTTTGTTTTCAAAATCTTTAGAATTGTACTTCAAGTCATTTATTTTGTTTGTCATTATTCTTTGTCCCCACATATCAAATTTCTTGGTGAGTAAAATTTGAATAATTCATCTAAAGTGATTTAAATTATTCTGTGTTTTCCCCAAGAAGTGGTGCTTACCATGAGGAAAAGCGGTAATTTTTAAAAGTGAGCACCATAAATAAATGAGAGATCGAGAAATTTCCATAGACAACAATTTTGGATTGTGAAAAATGAAGGTGCAAGCAGTTTTAACTCAATAGAAGTATACTGAAGCAATTTAAGATAAAACATCGATGCATCTACACCAAACACAAGCAGAGAAGACCGGGATGGAGAATAAGGCTAAGAGTATCATTATCTTGTGCCTTACGGATAAAGTTCTAAGAGAAGTCATCAGGGAGAAGACTGTGACTTTAATGAAAAAACTTGAATCATTGTATATGACCAAGTCTTTGGATCACAGGTTGTGTCTCACACAATAACTCTACTAATTATAAATGGTAGAGAACAAATATATAGTGAAGCAATTGACATAATTTAACAAGATTATTGATGATCTTAATAATATTATTGAGGTGAATATTGACGATGAAGAAATAAACTCTACTCTTGTTAAACTTATTACTCAAATACTTTGAGAACTTCAAAGACGTTCTTTATGGTAAAAAATGTGTTATTACTTTGGATGAAGTCCAAACAACTGTGTGATCCAAAAAAAATTCAGAGAAATGTTTAAAGATTGGTGATAATTGTGTATGATTAAATGTCTCAAGAGGAGGAAGTGGGCGTAGAAAGATGTCTAAGTCAAAGAGGTTTAACAAGTTAAAGGTAAAATTTGCTTGCCAGGATGCTAGTCATTTCATAAGAAATTATTTTGAGAGAAGGGATAACGATGATAATGTTCAAATTGCAGTTGCTTGTGATGAGGATAGTTAAGAAAATACTGGTGCACTGGTGGTGTCAAGTTTGGAGAATGAAGATAGTTAGGTCATAGACTCAGGTTGCTCTTATCATATAAGTAGAGAATAATACTCTGAGACTTTGAAGTCAAAGCAAAGTGGAGCAGTTATCCTTGTTGACAATAAGACTTGCAAGTTTTATGGTATTGGTACAGTCAAAATTATAATGTTCGATGAACATGAGTTTCTTCTTTACAACGCGGAGTATGTTCTAGAGCTCAGGAAATTTTCTATCCATAAGCATGTTTGATGATCTGTGTTATTGCACTAGAGTTGAACATGTTATGTTGAAGATTTTTCATGGTGAAGTGATCATAGCTAAAGGGTCTAAAATACGTGATTTATATATTTTAGAAGGTTCAAATATTGTTGTTCATTTATCATCAACTAGTGAAGACTTTCATGACAAGAATAATCTATGCAATTTAAGGTCAATGCATGGTTGATGTTTCATAACACTTTAATGAGTTTTACAGAAGACGATGGATAAAAAAGCATATTATCGTCTACTTGTCATTGAGTTTTAAGGGTAATGTCGGTGCCAAAGTAGCTTGCTTGGTCGGCAGGAATTCATTGACAAGAATAAACTTCCAAACACCTATGTTAATTTGTAATAGGAAACCTGAAAACTAATGTTATTCGAAGGTCATCAAAGCTTTTCTATTGCACAAATCAAGCTAATTAAGTTTGATGGTAAAGTTGCGGATTGTATCATCAATGGCCATGCAAGAAGTGAGAAGGATTATAAGCTATTAAGAATGGAACCTGGAGGATTGAAGTTCATCAATCGCAAATGTATTACTCCCAATGACTTTTGTCAAACTAAGAAAATTAAAGACATTGGGATGAATGTTTTAGAAATTATGGTGGAGAAAACTCAATTTGAAGTGAAGGTTTCTATTATGGATACTAGTAGTATTATAAGAACAATTATAGATGAATATGATTATCATTTTACTCGTGATAAGGTAAGAAGAGAGATTGTACGATCTCAAAAAGACGATTATGCTAGTCTTGGGTGTTATTCTTTGAATGTGGATGAATGATTGTAAAACTAAAAAACAAGAACTTTTAGGGAGGCATTCAAAATTAAGGAAAGTCAAATTTGGTTGAAGAATCATGCTTGTGGGCTTTTTAGATTACCTAAGCAGGAAAAAGTGATTGAAAGCAAGTGGTTGTTGTTCGTAGTATCAACAAAAGAAAAGTAAGTGTTTAAGATTATTTTCTCTATAGGGCCTGATGCGATTTCAAAATTTATCCAATAGTTCTTATGATTTTAATAAAGGTTTATAAAAGTTTATTTGTTGTTAAACTTAATAAGGAAATAAAGGTAAATGAGATTGGTGTTTTGACAGATGAGAAAGCTATGAAATTTATTATTCATAGACATTTGTTCTAGTTGCAAAGATGAATACAATCAGAGTAATTTTATCAATGACTATTAATTATGGTTGGGATTTACAATAATTTGATGTGACGCCTTCTTACACTCGGAACTTGAAGAGGAGACTTATATACAAGTACCACTGGGATATGTAAAAATATACCTCATAATACATTTTGCAAGTTGAAAAGGCATTATATGACCTAAAACAACCACCTCGTGTGTGGTTTGGAGGATTCACCACGATTATGAAATTTTTTGGTTACAAATAATGTCAAGGGGATCATACCTTTTTCATCAAACACTCGCCACAAGGAGGAGTAATAGTTCAATTAGTCTATGTGGATGACATTATAATGACTGGAGATGATTGGAAGGAGCAACAAATCTTGAGTCATTGCTTGGATATGGAGTTTGAAATAAAAGCTCTTGAAAAATTGAAGTACTTTCTGAAAATTGAGATGGAAGTTTTTCGAAAATGTATTTTTTTAAAATCTCAACAATACATTACTAATTACTCAAGGAGACAGGAAAAACAATCTGTAAACCTGTAAACATTCCTATGAATCCAAATCTTAAATTGGGTAATACAAAAGAAGATTTACAATAGATAAAGAAATGTATCAGCATCTAGTTGAAATATTAATTTACTTATCTCACACTAGACATGATATTACATATTTTGTATAAGTATAGTTAGTCTGTTCTTGTACTGTCCGAAAGAGATCCATTGAGAAGCAGTTTATAAAATTCTACAGTATTTCAAAGGAACTCTAAAAAGAGAAATTTTGTTCAAAAGAAATGAAAATACAACCCTTGAAACATACACTGATGCAAACCACACAGGGTCAAGGGTCAATTGTTGATAAGAGATCCACTACATAGTACTACACCTTTTTTAAAGAAATCTTGTGCTTTGGAGGAGTAAGAAGTATAACACGTTCTAATGACGAAGGATTTAGAACCACAACACAAAGCATTTTTGAATTACTTTGGCTCAAAATTATTTTAAAAGATTTGAAAATCAAATGGGAAGGATTTGTAAAGCTCTAGTAATAATAAGTCAACTATCAACATATCATATAATTCAATTCAATATGATCAAACTAAAGATATTGAGGTTGATAGACGCTTCATTAAAGAGAAGCTTGATAGTGGGTTGATTGTACCCGTATGTGTCCTTGTAAGGATAGCTTACGGGTATTCTCCCTAAAGAATTGAATAGTTCAGATTTTAAAAGAATTGTATTCAAGTTGAGAACTTATTCATCAATTTCAAGGGGAGTGTTGGAAATAGTTAAATTCATTGTAAATTTTTCATAAAAGAATAACATTTAAGTCTTTAGATTCGTATACGTTTAAATTCATGCATTTAGAAAATTGGACTTGTATTTATTTCTCTTTGTAAATATAGCATGTAATTAATCATGTGTTGTGCATAAATATCATGATTACTAAATGCTTTATTCACTCAAGCTCATTTGAAAATTCTTATTCCTATTTTTCACAATATGTTGAGGGAGGTCCATGAGGGACACAAATTTGGGCTGATCCCTAAGTACTTTAAGGTGTTGCTTTTGTAAAACACTAAACATAAAGTCTTCAAATACTAACCATCAGAAATGTAAATTTCCCAATGAGTACAAGTTTGAATAAAAAACCTATTTGAGAAACATAATCTACCACTATTCCTAAGCAAATCTTATAAATTATGAATATATTGCAACCACAATCAAAGTCTTCTTCTCCCACTAGATGTGGTTGAGCTACATAGATCAGTTGATATCATTGTCTTCTGTCAAAAACCAGCTCTTTGCATAAGCCATGTAGATCAGTCTTTTCTAATGGTTTTAAAGTATCGAAAACAACATTCCATAGGTTCAATTCATGGGAGCAGAACATGAGCACCTGATAACAGCATACAAAAGCTTAAAGATCTTCCTCAAAACAAGGTTTATCAGCAATTGCATTGCATTGCAGCAGAAACCAAAATTCTTTTATGCTTACCTTCGCTGTTCCGATAAATTCTCCACAGATCCCAACTTCCTCCATTCTGAGCACTTATCACACTGTATCCATTTCTCATTCATCCTGTGGTTCAATTTACAAATGAAATATTCAATTAGTCCTAAGAAAATATATATATAACAGAAACACAGACGCGCATGATTTTTTGTTTCTCGAGTTTTGGTTTTACTAAGTGACACACATGTTTATCATCTTACCCGTTTATGAATATTCCTCTCTTTGAAATGATAGGAGGTTCCTGCATCAATTTAAGTATAGTCAAATACTAGCCTGTAGCGACACATCTGAGAAAAGGTGTGTCCGTGTCAGAGTTATGTGTCATGTTTGGTGCCTGTGCTTTATAGAATTTATCAGTTAACATCAACAAAACATCAAATTAGTCCTCTGAGAGTTGGAGTGCTACCATATTAGTTTACTCACTTCATATTCTTCAAAAACATAATCCTCAATCACCACAATGCTTGAATTAACAGTTGGCGATGGATGAAGAAAATCTTGAGCCTCTTCCCAAGTAAGTTTCAACATCAATGCATCTTGGTTGTCAATAACCAGCCTCTTACTTTTCGAACCAATGTCACATGTTCTTTGTTTCTTCTCAGGAACCAGCTCTTGTGGCAGATGCATTCCTTCTCTTTTCATGCCGTTAGACAAAGTAACTTCATGCACCTGATAATATCAGCGATGAATACGTTACTAAATGTATCAGTTCTAAGAAAATTCTTCTTCTAACGAGACGTAACATAATTTCTACTTCTCTGCAATTTTGCACGAGATCTTTACGAGTATCGATTTAGAAGCTGTTACCTGCATAGAAGAATTTGAGGTCTTTCGAAACCCTATTATCAGTATCTCCCGGGGATCCATCCGGCTAAATGTTACAAAATCTCCAGCTTGCAATTGCATAGACTGAATCCAAGGATGTACACCTTCTAAAACATATATCCTGCTGCTATTATTAGGCCAAAATCTAAACCTAAACATCAGTTTCTTCCCTTTCACATCTTCAATATGTAAATAAACGCCCCCTGGTTCAGAAATCGGAGGAAAATAAGCCTGCCAAAATCATACTACTTTCAGTTCTAACAAATTATAGAAAAAGGTTTATACTAAAATTATCTGTTAAGAACAATATTTAGCTAATTAGTTACTAAACTTACTTCAACGCATGGTTTCGGAAGAACCATGCGACCAAGTCGACCAACATCACTGGCTGTCAATGTCTTCTCAAACAATGGCACAATGGTGGAATTTAAACTTTAACACATCGTGAATTATGGTTAACAAAGATTTTTTCTACATAAAATAAAACCAGATCAAATTACACCAGTGTGATACTTATATTTTAATTACACTGTTCAATAAATTTTTATCAGAGGTCTTTATTGAACGGTGTAACAAAATGTAAGTATTACACTGACGTTAATTTAATCCTCTCTCGCATAAAATATTTGTCATGCAATAAAAAAATTTAGAAAAGTAATGGATACTCTCCGGATAACTGCTGTAGTTCTTGATCAGTAATCTTTGGCAAATTACGGGGAGATATGTTTTTACGTCGTCGTTTTATAGGTGGTCTTGCAATCTGAATTGGGGATGCCATGCACACATTTGTTTCTGAATCTGTAGCAAGAGCTGGCTTAGAGAGATTGTGAGTCGTGAGACTTAGGTTTAACATCATTACTCAAACATGCATTTATGACAATAGGTTTAACATACCATGGCTAATATATATTTGCAATGGTAACAATATATAATGGTAACAAATCTTATATTTTTGCAATGGTAACAATATATAATGAAATTTTACACGTACGAGTGTTGAATATTTGGGATAGTTTATACAGCTTATGTCACCACTCACCAGTATCTCGCAACTCAAGTGTGACTGAGAAACAACGATTCCAACAACGATTCCACAATGTATAATAATTTTGCACCCTCGTGTGCTGATCAAAGTTAATAAGGAAATCCAATGGAAACAAAGAGATATTATTAAGGTTGAGAATAGTAATGGAGGCTAGGGTTCTATTACATCAAACCAAGTTAAAATCAGTAACATGTATTATGGGAGAGACTAAACTACCCTTAAAAAGTCATGTTACACGTATCAAGAAAGAGTATTTAGAATTTGTTAGTCAACAAACAATGAAATGTGATTTTGTTAAACCACCAAAAGCATTTGCACGCCTTAAGAAAGTTTCTATTTTTTACCATAACATTTCTCTTTTTAGTTTTGCATTGTTATTATGTCGTTTTCATGTTATTTCTATGACTAATAAAGCATTTTCTTTTCCAGAAAAAATCACGTTCCGATTTTAGCCAAGTCACAATTTACATTACTTAAAAAAAAAAACATATCCAATAACGACAGGAACGTAGTGTGTAGTTGTATAGGTAGAAAATCTGAAAACGCGCGACATATTATCACGGTTGCTGACCGTTGTAATATATTAAATGTCACAAATTCAATTCTCAGCATCGTCTTTTTAGTATATATATTATTCTGGACAACGTTCACTATATAACCATGATTATATTTAATAACCGTCATTAAATTATCTGTTTTTTTAAAATATATTTTTCTACTTTTTAAAAAATTTCCATTTTTAACTTGTATTCTTGCGAACCGTATCAAAACATAAACAACAATTGTATCATAACAAATAATTGTATTGTATTACATCAAATCCATACATTGGATTAACAACCAAACATTGTATATGTATTACATCAAAAAAAAAAATGACACAAAACAACCTACAAACCTATATAACATCACATAGTTGTATCTTATATAGTATTTTGGTTTCTTTGTCTCTTGGTGTCTTGACTTTAAACACCTACAATATCAAATAATCATACTTGTTAGTAATAAATATAGTTAGAAATAATAAACTTACATTAAATTATGAATAAAGAATAAAATATTTACTTGTTAATTTTCTCATATGCCTTCATTATGATCGATACAAATAACATGCACATCATCTCTATCAACTTCATCATATGTGGTAGACACTTTTGTTGTGTAAGAAGGAATGTCAAAACTTTCATCACTACTAGGAATGTCTTTTTCTCGGAGAACGATTGACAATTTCCCCGATGTGTTCGAAGATTCGGTCACATACAAAAATTGTTTTGCTTGTGAAGCCATGATGAATGGCTCGGTCATATAATTTTCCTTGCCAAGGTCAACCCGGGTGAATCCTAAATCATCAGTTGTACAACATTAATATTATTTGGAACCCACTTGCATTTAAATAAAGGCACTTTGATTATAACATAATCAATCTCCCAAATCTCCTCAATGACACCATAGAACGCACTAGATGCCAATATTAGATTCTTATCTTTCGAACTAGAGAAATACATGGATTCAGCCTCAACCATAACTCCACTATTTTGCATTGTACTACGATCATATTTTGATTTTGTATAAAAGGTATAATAACCAATGTCATATACAATCCAAGTTATCACATTAAATTTTGGCATGAACGACAACCATTTAATTGTCTCGGATGCACTATGATTCTTTGGTATCCTTTTATTAAACCAATCTAGGAATTTCTTTTTATGCTCGATCAACAACAACTTGCTACTCATTCGTGGATATCTTTTCTTCAAAAGTCTTTTGTGAGTAGCCACGTAAGGTTGAACTTTTTCAAGATTATTCAATATATATATATATATATATATATATATATATATATATATATATATATATATATATATATATATGTGTGTGTGTGTGTGTGTGTGTGTGTGTGTGTGTGTGTGTATGTGTGTGTGTGTGTGTGTGTGTGTGTGTATGTGTGTGTGTGTGTGTGTGTGTGTGTGTGCCTGAATAACTATATTTCGATCCATTGACTTAACATTTAAATCTTGAATACATCTACCTTCAGTGTCAGCATGGCGAGACTTTAGAATTCCTATAGAATCTGCTTCTGACAAATAGTTTGTACAAAACTCAACAACTTCTTCTGTGATGTACCTTTCAACAACCAAATCTTTCGGTCGGTGACGATTCTTCGTATATCCTTAAAAGATCTTCGTGTATCGCTCTATTAGATACACCCATCTTAAATAAACTAGACCACAAGTTCTGATTTCTCCTTAGTGAAGTCACCACTTCTATTATGTATTCCTCAACAGAGTCTTCCTTTGCCTTTCTTTCTTGGTTTTGACACCATTTTGTTGCATTCCCTCAGTAGAGTCTTTCTAGTTCCCTTCGCTCTTGGTTTTGACACCATTCTTCTGTACTCCTCAGCTAAGTCTTTCTACCCCCTTTCACTCTTCGTTTTGACACTATTTTTGTTTCCTATTCCTTCTCCGTCTTTGTTCCCTAGACTACGGAGCTCTGACTTCCTCATTGCACTATGAGGATGTGTAGGCACGAGATTGCAAAATCTTGGCGAGCTACCTTCTACCTTCTTCCGTTCTTCTTCCTCGTCTCTCCTCTCTTTCCTGGTTCCATGAACTACAGAGCTCTGAATTCCTCATTGTACTATAAGGATATGTAGGTACGAGGGCCTCAATCCTCCGCGAGCACTTCTTTCTCTCTTCCTCCTTCTCTCTTTCTTTCCTTTTTTCTCTCTTTTCCCTTTCCTCTTTAGCTAGAATCCTTTATATAGATAATCCATCCAAGCCTAGAAGTAAGCAAAGCGGTTCCCGTTGGGTGTGACGGATGCGTGGGGTGCTAGTACCTTCCTCTCACATAACCGACCCCCTTGTCTGTTTCTCTTCCCTTTGGGTTTTATCAATATTTTCCCTATCCTTCGGGACTAAATAAAGTTCGGTGGCAACTCTGTTGTATCTTTGAGTGTGCGATTCACTCAGGTATAATCCCTCTAGTTTCACATTCCAATTCCACCATCTAACATATCTATTCATCATCTATATAAAGAGGTCTTGGAAGTTTGAAAATGTTAGACCATTGAAGAACAACACTGAAGAGAAATAAGAGAAATAAAGAAGAAGTGTTTTCACGCTAAGAAAAATATCATGTTCATCACTTAGAACACTTTATTGAATATATTTCTTAGTGTAAAATCTGATTTTAATTTATGTATTTGCTTATTTTAGAAGCAACTTGTAAACATAATCTTGTATTCTTAACCTTTTGATTAAATACCTTGAGAAACTAGGTTATAGTCATGATTCTCAATAAGTCTTAGACAAGTTGTCTTTGAGTTTATAATCAAGTATTTGATTAGTGAATCAAGTCCTTATTTAGAAGGAGAAATCACTATGGTGGTGTTCACCGTAAAAATTGATGAACAACCACTGGTCTAACAAATCGAAAGAGATCTGTGTTGCTTGCAGGATCGACCACACAAATCCTAGGACATGTGCTAATTGGTCTTTTAAATAAAGTGAATGAAAATTATAAACACTTCAATGAGTTCCATGGTAAGACAACTTATTTCAAGTATGAGTGAATTTAAATAACAGTAAAAGGAAGTAAAGTGTTGATAAATGACAAGGATAATAACTTGCATAAAGAAAAACAAACTTTTAAGTAAAAGAAGTGTTAAATTGCATTGAAATGAAAATTGGTGTTTAACCAACGTACATTCTCACGACTCGTTTCTCTCAATCACACGGATACTTAGAGTAAATAGAGATTTTATACACAATTGGACACACACATCTTAATACAAAGACCTGCTATTTATAATCATCGAACATAACCGCTATTAACGGCTAACAAGTAAGATCAAGACAAGTGTCACTACACATGCCTTCGAACCACCGGGATGCTCCATGTGTCTTTCTCAAAGCAGACTTTCCCTCTTTTATTTGAATTCAAATGAACTCTCATCGAAGACTCCCTCGAACAACGCTTCTGTCGAATTGGGTCTTCCAACTATTGAGGAATATCTCTAAGTCCAAAACATAGAACCTCCTGACAAGAAACCATCTTCGACTCTTATTCCATAAAACAAAGTTTTAGTTAAAGTAATTAAATTTCCCCAAAAAACTCTACTTGCTATTTTTAACTCTGTTCAGGCGTCGAAATTAGGAGCTAACAAATTGCCCCCCAAAAATGTCATTTTCGACATCAATGAAGAATAAGACATTTTTTGATAGTTGTTGCACCCCAAAATTTGCCCAACCTTTTCCTTCTTGGTGTCTGGTTCTTTGCACTTCATTTAACATTAGCATTTGCATATCATAAAGCATTTATGCAGGGGATCAAGTATGGTTTATATAAAGAGGAGCCTATCTAGAGGTTTTATTCAAGCTTAAGAAGTCACCAAAGTCACCAGGAGATGGTTCATGCTCTTGAGAAGTTCAGTTGCTTGTATAGGGTTCATCTCCTAACTTGGAGGCCAATTGAAGACCATCAGTGGGTTGTAAAGCCTTGATTATGGATATAGTATGTGAATAGATCTCATGGAGTGCCTTGAGAGTTATGGTGGAGCTCAGTCAAGTCATTTTTCCAAGTGTAAGCAGCCACGGTTGAAGGTGTTGCAATTAGGGTTTTCATCTGGTCAACCCTAGGTCAAAGGTGAAATTGAAGTAGGTCAAAGATCAATTCTAAGTCATAGTGGTCATGGAATGTTATGTTGAATCATTTGAGATGTTGTTCCAAGATCAAATCAAAATAATCAAGAGTGTGAGAAGTTGCTAAGTCAGGGTTCTCAGTGTAAAATCCCATATTTAGTGCCTAAC